TCTTCTTGCGGTTGTTCTTTTAGTTGCTGTTTGGATTTAGCTGTTTTCGTCGCATCAACAGATTTTGCTGCTGTAACTGTTGCTGCTGTAGCTGCTGAAGTTGCTGCAATTTTCGTTGCTGACTTCGAGGAAGATTTTTCAGGTCTCGTCTTTGCAGTTGTTGTCTTTGTTGAAGTTGTTGCTGTTGTTAGTGGTTGTAAGTAATCCTTGCTGTTGAGATCCTTTGTGATTGGTGAATCAAATCCCATGCTGAACTGGGAGGATGTTATCTGGTCAGTCAATCTCTGTTGCAGATGATAATGGATGGATTATGAACAATGGATGGATTATGAACAATGGATGGATGTTAAACAATGGACCTAACGATCACCAAAAATATAAAATAACGACAAAGACAACAACAAAATATGACCTTGACATTTTCGACGGTGACCCCTCTCTTGCCCGCCTCGACCTTCAAAGGATGAGTGTACCTCGGTAGCAGCTTCAAATCCTACACATATACATGCATGCATACGATTAATTTGCTTTTAAAATAATTATTTTTCATTTACCATCATTTTTGCAACGAAATACGAATGTTCATTTTTGTCAATGTGACCAATGAAAAAAAAGATGAATTAACCAATGAGAAAAAAAATGAATCAACCAACCGCATCAACCCAGCATGCAATCAGGTCGTTGAAATGTTCAGCAGTTAAGTTGTTGTGATTGGTCTTCAACAGTTTCAACAACATCATCGAGTTCGTCTTCATCGGCGCAACTGATCTCAAGTTCAAGGTCTTTAACAACTAATTCGCATATTCGTGAATATGATTACTGTTCGTCAAATCATTAACTATAAAATCAATATTGAAAGAACAAAAGCTAGAACATATTGCCAGCAACACATTGCAACAAAATTTAATTTATCAACTTACACCCATGAAAATCCGTAAAAACAACAAACAGCAACTCGCCCAAGCAACTTGGAAACAACAAATGCAGCACATAAAACTGTACAAAACAACATGTTACATAGTTTCATTAAATGCATAACAACTTTCAAAAAACAGCAGCACAGCATGAGTGGCATGCAACAATCACATCATACTTCACATCACATCATCCAATCATACAATGACAGACAAGGGCGACGATATGCATGCATGCACCAACAACAACACAATCACACACAACAACACAATCACACACAACAGCACACAACAACCCAATCAATCACACACAACAATACAATCGCCACAATCACGCAACACGATCACACACAACGAGAGCCTACATCAACAAGTTCTCTAGACTTGAAGCCGCTGTTAATCCAGCCTTCACTCAGGGCGTTCTGCACTAAATGTCCTGCATACTTGTATCCACTCTCAACTAATGGTATCATATCGTGTATCATAATGATAATAATAATAACAACAACAATAATAATTATTATCATCTATTTATTATAACAGCTATTAGAAGCACGAATAGACGTCATAATGAACATCAGTAAGCATTAATTCAGAGCTGATGCAGTGAGTGCTTGCTCCAATAACATCCCATCCAAGTCAGCGAGAAGATGCCAGGCACGACACCCTGCACCCCTAAGATGATTGGATGGAATATTTACGGATGGCCCGCTGTTTCTCTAGCTCAATGCACGTTCCAAGCATCCTCTGTATTAGATTGCAATTTAAAAAGATCCGAAGCCAAGTCACACGCTGCTCAATTGAGCCAGAACTTCACAGTGAAATAACGCATCCTAGCTAACTTGCTTGAAAGCAGTAAACAGCAACAACAACGACAACAACAACATTAATGACAATGATTATTACAACAATGAAACAAAACAACAGAAACAACAATGAGTAACTGAAAGCACAAGACCACGCGTAACAATGGTAGCAGTGAATAGTGGAGTAGAGAGGTACCAACTTAGATTACGTGCCTCTGTGAAGGCCCCCCTCTGGAGCAGGCAGGCCACTTCAAACATCTCCCTCATCGATTTGGGAACATCTATTTCCTGGTGATGTCGTCATCGTCGTCGTCGTCATCATCAATGTCATTATCATCATCCACGTCACATCATCAGCATGAAACATCACGTCTAAACTTTATTGCGACATCACCACACAACAAAAAACATGATCCCAACCACATACACACACCACACCACGCCACACCACACCACACCAAACCACACCACACCACACCCCACCACAACACCACAAAGCCACCTTATATCTCTTCAGGACATCCGGATAATCCTGGGCACACTTCTCCACTAGTGGCATCAGCGACCAGTTGAAAACTGTCTTCTGCATGCTGCCAGGTTCCGTGTGGACAGTCTTCAGCAAGAAATCCGTCAGTCTGTAGACGCCTGTGTGTTGCAATCATCATTACAATCCATGAGGATGGTGGCGAGGTGAGATGCAATGATAATGGAGAATAATTTAGGTAGCTGATTAAATGTTGATCATGATGATTGAGGACAACAACAACACCACCAACAACACCAACAACAACAAAACAACAACACCAATAACAAAAACAACAACAACAACACCACCAACAACACCAACAACAACAACATCACCAACAACACCAACAACAACAACTTGCCGTCAACATCCTTCTGATTGGCTGCCTTAAAGAGTGCAGGCCAGAAGTAATGACACTTGAACTCAAACCCCTGTTCACCAAAGTTCAACATAATTCACTAGTCCATTCATTCATTCGTTGCACGTCAGTGATGTCATTTAACTTCTAAAAGAAACTACAACAATGAAGGTGATGGTGTGGGTGAAATATAATGAATGAATACAAAATTATAAGAATTATGTCCTGGAGTGAGGCAAAGCAGGCGGTGGCAAGATGAAAAATGGAATGTGGTGTTTCAAGTGCTGATACAGGTCAGTAAGTAGTCTGGTCAAAAAATTAAAAAAAAAAACTTCACATAAGGCTCACATCACGTGAGTGATACAGTAGGGAAATTATAACGGCCATATTGAAACAACACCAAAAACAACATCACGATCAAAAAAGATTCAAAACTACAATACAAAGAGAGGCAGTCATCCTTGTCATCCATACACTACACTAATAACAATCATTATCGTCATCATCATAAGCACTGTATATATGCTTATATATTATATATAAAAACAATCATTATAATCATAATCGTCGTCGTCACTACAAACAATCACCATCAGCAGCATCTGATAACTGACCGGTCTTCTGCAGTTTGAGGGCAGCGTATGCAATCGGTTCGAGGTCCCTGGTCAGCAGGTTGTTGTCAATCAGTCTCTGTCTCACCCTCATCAACTCAATAGTTGGCTGGTTGGTTGGTTGATTGGTTGGTGATTGAGTTGTCGACAGAACAGTCTGGTTAAATGATTGAATAGTTAGTTAGTTTTTGAATGAACTGCATTGTATGTTGAATGCAATTAAGACAATGCATGTAAAGCATATAATAATGCAAAGCTGAATGAAATGTACTAATCAACTTTGAAATAGAAAACAATTAAAATAAATTTAAACATTAAAATTATTCACCAACAACAGTCACAGCGCGATGTAAATTAAAAAAACCGAACAACGTGCGTCCCAAAAACAACCACCCAAAGGTAAATAAAATCAAATAAACTTCAGACGAAACAACTGCATCTAAAAAACACTGTACAGCCCTCCC